CCACCTGTGAATGTGTGTCTGATCTGGGCTGCCACCTGTGAATGTGTGTCTGATCTGGGCTGCCACCTGTGTATGTGTGTCTGATCTGGGCTGCCACCTGTGTATGTGGGTCTGATCTGGGCTGCCATCTGTGTATGTGTGTCTGATCTGGGCTGCCACCTATGTATGTGTGTCTGATCTGGACTGCCACCTGTGTATGTGTGTCTGATCTTGGCTGCCACCTGTGTATGTGTGTCTGATCTGGACTGCCACCTGTGTATGTGTGTCTGATCTGGGCTGCCACCTGTGAATGTGTGTCTGATCTTGGCTGCCACCTGTGTATGTGTGTCTGATCTGGTCTGCCACCTGTGTATGTGTGTCTGATCTGGGCTGCCACCTGTGAATGTGTGTCTGATCTGGGCTGCCACCTGTGTATGTGTGTCTGATCTGGGCTGCCACCTATGTATGTGGGTCTGATCTGGGCTGCCACCTGTGTATGTGGGTCTGATCTGGGCTGCCACCTGTGTATGTGTGTCTGATCTGGGCTGCCATCTGTGTATGTGTGTCTGATCTGGGCTGCCATCTGTGTATGTGTGTCTTATATAGACAACCACAACTGTTCGTGTGTCTGTCTTATCCTTCTCCACAAAATATCTTTACACCCACAGACTTTTTTTCTCTAGCATCTCAACATGAAACAATTACAATCTGATATAACTGTATTGATAACTGACATTCACCCTAAATGGCCTGAGTGCCATAATTAGTCAGGAAATGAGGCACACGACTCATTTAGCACAGCTCTTCAGTCAACACAGCAGGCACATGGGGATATCCACTTATTTACCCCTTCAAAGAAATCATGCATAAAGTATTTAGTGCTAATATACAGTATCTAATCCCGGGGGAACTTCCTACTCCTCACGGAATGACAATAACTATTTTTAATTTCTTTGGAGGAATAATGTGGATGCCAGAAGGTTGAGGGTGTCATTGTTAGTGGGCGGTGGCCTTGTTGGTGGATAGTTGCCTTTTTATGTGAGGTGAGGTGAAATTTTATTACACTTATATAGTGACGTGCATGTATGTGCGTGTGTTTGTGTTGCTGCTTGTACTAGTCCGGACTGATGCCGATTTATAGTGCTAGTTCACTGAGATACCATGCCGCAGTTTAACATGAATACCCCACTCAGACACCGTATACTGACTCCTAGCCGACCAGTCCTTGTTTTAGCCCCTTAATGCCGAGCGCCAGACAGGGTAACAACAAGTACCATATTTAAACGTCTTTTGGTATGACGCGGCCGGGGATCGAACCCCGGACCTTCCGCACTCCGGGCGGACGCTCTACCAGTAGACCACGGAGGCGGTCTTGCCTTTTTAGAGGGTAGTGGTATTGTTGGTGGATGGTGGTATAGTTAGTGGGCGGTGGCCTTGTTGGTGGATAGTTGCCTTTTTAGAGGGTAGTGGTATTGTTGTGGATGGTGGTATATTTAGTAGCGGTGGCCTTGTTGGTGGATAGTTGCCTTTTTAGAGGGTAGTGGTATTGTTGTGGATGGTGGTATATTTAGTGGGCGGTGACCTTGTTGGTGGATAGTTGCCTTTTTAGAGGGTAGTGGTATTGTTGTGGATGGTGGTATATTTAGTGGGCGGTGACCTTGTTGGTGGATAGTTGCCTTTTTAGAGGGTAGTGGTATTGTTGTGGATGGTGGTATATTTAGTAGCGGTGGCCTTGTTGGTGGATAGTTGCCTTTTTAGAGGGTAGTGGTATTGTTGGTGGATGCCTTGATGGTGGTATAGTTAGTGGGCGGTGACCTTGTTGGTGGATAGTTGCCTTTTTAGAGGGTAGTGGTATTGTTGTGGATGGTGGTATATTTAGTAGCGGTGGCCTTGTTGGTGGAAAGTTGCCTTTTTAGAGGGTAGTGGTATTGTTGGTGGATGCCTTGATGGTGGTATAGTTAGTGGGCGGTGACCTTGTTAGTGGATAGTTGCCTTTTTAGAGGGAAGTGGTATTGTAAGTGGATGGTGGTATAGTTAGTGGTGGTGGCCTTGTTGGTGGATAGTTGCCTTTTTAGAGGGTAGTGGTATTGTTGGTGGATGGTGGTATAGTTAGTGGTGGGGGCCTTGTTGGTGGATAGTTGCCTTTTTAGAGAGTAGTGGTATTGTTGGTGGATGGTGGTCTAGTTAGTGGGCGGTGGCCTTGTTGGTGGATAGTTGCCTTTTTAGAGAGTAGTGGTATTGTTGGTGGATGGTGGTATAGTTAGTGGTGGGGGCCTTGTTGGTGGATAGTTGCCTTTTTAGAGGGGAGTGGTATTGTTGTGGATGGTGGTATAGTTAGTGGCGGTGGCCTTGTTGGTGGATAGTTGCCTTTTAAGAGGGTAGTGGTATTGTTGGTGGATGCCTGGATGGTGGTATAGTTAGTGGGCGGTGGCCTTGTTAACGGATAGTTGCCTTTTTAGAGGGTAGTGGTATTGTTGGTGGATGGTGGTATAGTTAGCGGTAGTGGCTTTGAAGGTCGATAGTTGCCTTGTTGGTGGGTGGTTGCCTTGTTAGTGGATAGTTGCCTTGTTGGTGGGTGGGGGCATCGTAGGTGGGTGGTAACCTTGTTGGTGGGTGGTTGCCTTGTTGGTGGGTAGTTGCCTTGTTGGTGGGTGGTTGCCTTGTTGGTGGGTGGGGGAATTGTAGGTGGGTAGTTGCCTTGTTGGTAGGTGGTTGCCTTGTTGGTGGGTGGGGGAATTGTAGGTGGGTGGTTGCCTTGTTGGTTGGTGGGGGAATTGTAGGTGGGTGGGGGAATTGTAGGTGGGTTGTAACCTTGTTGGTGGGTGGTTGCCTTGTTGGTGGGTGGTTGCCTTGTTGGTGGATAGTTGCCTTGTTGGTGGATGGGGGCATCAAAGGTGGGTGGGGGAATTTTTGGTGGGTGGTAGCCTTGCTTGTCAGTCAACATATTGGTGCCTTTTGGTTGTCATTAAGAACCTGAGGCTCATGAGGCTTGTAAGTCTTTTTCACTTATGGTTCTCATGGGCTGTCATTGCAGGTTGGTGTTTTTCTTGGCTAGGGTCATGACATTGGTTGGGTGTCATTGTTGGTCAAGAGGAAGATACTGGCAGAAGTTTTGCAATGACCCCTCAAGACACACCTGACCTGACTCATCACACAAATGAACTGCTTGTTGAAGCAGCACCACAGGATGCCATGTGAGAGATACACTGCTAACGACCCGGGATAATCACTCACAGAGCCCCACATCAGGCAATAGAGGCTGGTAATGAAGACACACCTCATTGACTCCTCACAATCAAATCAACAAAGGCCTGATGCAGATTGCACAAAAAAAAGAGAAGAAAACTATACAGGATGTTTTCTCCACTAGCGCAAGTAAACCTTCACATGGCTTTGTTAAGCCTAATTGTGGGCTTCTCCTATGTGAAACTGTGGTTAGTATGTTGGCCACATTAAAAATATTTCTTGGTTATCATGACATGAAAATTCAGTAACAGAGGGACAGAACCTCAGGTTTTTATGTGGTTTAAAGATTGAGTGGTAAAGATGTGCCAGACAACTATGTCCTAAAATCTAGGTTTTTATAGATATTTTCAAATTTTCAGCACATTTTGTGATATTTTTAAAAGTTTTGGGGTTAATAAAAGAGTGAGTGAGTGAGTGAGTGAGTGAGTGAGTGAGTGAGTGAGACCGGTATTTTAGTGAAGGCCCGTGGGAAATATTAAAATTTTATGTTTGATTAATTGCAGCTTTCAAACAATTAATCAATCTGCAGCTTTAGCCACTTGTCCAAAGCCCGAGTCTAGTTCAATTCTGTTCAGTCTATTAAGCTAATAATAGTCAATATGATAACACTAAAATCTAAGGAAAATGAGGTTAAGAGAAAATATTCAGGACAATGGATTTTGTATTGAGCAACAACACCAAATATATTTTTTCATAAAAAGTCTAAATATTTAAAAAAAACACAAAACAATGTATTTTGTGCGCTAGGCAATTTTTTTTGGGGGGGGGTTCAACAGTCTGTAACATCATTATTTGTTTCATGAATTTTTTGTGACAATTTTTTTCGATAAAATCCCAGTGACCTGCAACAAATTTACATGTTGACTTATTTCTCACAATACGCTACAGTTTTTCTACGATCAGGGCCTGAGGAGTTTAGCCAGGGCCTGCAGCTGTGGGTGCTGATGGCAGCCTAACATGTTGTTTTATTGTTACAATGACACAAGACGCCATAGAGCTCAAAGATATTTCTGAAGCAATGTCAAATTTTAAAACACACAAAATGAATAAATCCCTAGCAACCTGTTTTGTATGTTTGTTTGTGGTTTAACGCCACACTCAACAACATTCCACCTATGTGACGGCGGTCTGCAAAAAATCCAATCTGGACCAGACAATCCAGTGATGAACATCATGCGCATCAATTGGGATGTGATGACCTGCATCAACCAAGTCAGCAAGCCTGACCACCCGATCACCTGACCACCAGTCCCAGCAACCAGTACTTCCTGTTTGAGGCAACCTTAATGAATTGGTAGGTCAGGCTTGAATTGGTTAATTGCATGTCCTCATACCGCCAATACAATGGTGATCATAAGATCAATCACTAGTTTGGCGACCAGTGAAGATCATGGGGTAGAATAGGTCTTCACCAACCCATGCTTGCCGTAAAAGGTGACTATGCTTGTAACGAGATCGGGCGATCAGGCTCGCTGATTTGGTTGATGCATGTCATCGTATCACAATTGTGTGGATTGATGCTCATGATGTCAATTACTGGATTGTCTGGTCCAGATTCGATTATTTACAGACCACCATCATATAGCTGGAATATTGCTGAATGCGGCGTTAAAAAACAAACAAACAAACACTAGTTTGTCTGGTTCAGACTCAAGTAAGTTCAGCTGTCATCATAAAGCTGAAGTATACCCAAGTACAATGTCAAACAATCCACAGATATTGAGTATAAATCTCTGTATTCAGCCTACAAAAGAAACCCAATATTGGTCACTGACCTGATTGGCGAAGAGGTTTCTTGGGTTTGGGTTTCGGCAGGTGCCCTGAGGCCTCCTCTCCATCTTCATTCTGGAAGAAGCAAAATAAAATATCAGGAAGGTCTTCATGTCATTATTAGAAATGCAGGATTTGTAAAATTGCCAAAGGGTTAGTGGACAGTGTAATTAATGTTAGACTAGGATCAGCAGTCACAGAAAGTTTATCTAGGTCATTGAGACGTGTGAAGATCAGGGGTAAAATAGGTCTTCATCAAACAATTCTTGCCGTAAAAGGTGACTATGCCTGTCGTAAGAGGCGACTAACGGGATCAGGTGGTCAGGCTTACTGACTTGGTTGATGCATATCATCGTATCCCAATGCGTGGATCGATGCTCATGACGTCATTTACTGGATTGTCTGGACCAGGAAAATGAAGTTAAGAGAAAATATTCAGGACAATGGATTTTGTATTGAGCAACAACACCAAATATATTTTTTCATAAAAAGTCTAAATATTTTAAAAAAACACAAAACAATGTATTTTGTGCGCTAGGCAATTTTTTTTGGGGGGGGGTTCAACAGTCTGTAACATCATTATTTGTTTCATGAATTTTCTGTGACAATTTTTTTCGATGAAATCCCAGTGACCTGCAACAAATTTACATGTTGACTTATTTCTCACAATACGCTACAGTTTTTCTACGATCAGGGCCCGAGGAGTTTAGCCAGGGCCTGCAGCTGTGGGTGCTGATGGCAGCCTCACATGTTGTTTTATTGTTACAATGACACAAGACGCCATAGAGCTCAAAGATATTTCTGAAGCAATGTCAAATTTTAAAACACAAAATGAATAAATCCCTAGCAACCTGTTTTGTATGTTTGTTTGTGGTTTAACGCCATACTCAACAACATTCCACCTTCCGCCTGATTCCTGGTCCAGACTCGATTATTTACAGACAGCCGTCATATAGCTTGAATATTGCTGAGTGTGGCGTTAAACAAACAAACAAACAAACAAACATGGTAACTACTCAGTGGCTCAAAAATTATCTGGGACCCTGAAGCAGAGCCCCTTTAACACCACATTTTCAAACTTACACATATCAATAATTTACCCTCTAATGAACAAGAAATTCTTCGTTAATCTTCATAAGATTTTCTAATCAGTTATTTGCCCCTCTTCAATCAGAAGCAGAAATCTCCCCTCAACAGCTTCAACAAACAAATCACAACATAATGAGGCAAGGCCCAGTTTATGTTAAAGGGGCAGTATGTCAACGCTTCTGTGTAGTTTTTATATCATGATGACATAATTTATGAGAGACATGCCCGATTCAGTTCTCAAACCAAAACAATAGAGCTCTGCACAGTGAAGTCGCCAACACAAACGCTGCGCAGAGTACACTGGTTTTGGTCTTGTTTTTCTAAAAGAATCAAATTGGTGAGAAAGTTCATGTGTTTTTCTTACGGATGAGCTACAAAATACTAACAGTCAGCTTGATTAGATCAGAGTGAGTGAGTGAGTTGGGTTTAAGGCCACTTTTAACAGTATTCCAGTTATATCATGGCGTGTCAGCTTAATGTGGGAGGAAAGCCCCAAGTGATGCAGGTCTCAGATGTTGACAACTTCGGTGAAACCCACGAGCACGGGTATGGTGCTGACAAACCTAGAAACATAATCGGGGCAAACAGGGATTCGAACCCACAATCATAGGTTTCTGGCGTGCCCAAGGGAAGCAAATCTGCACAGCCAATCGTGGCGCCTTAGACGACTGGGCCACCCGTGCCCCCTTGATTAAATCAGAAGCCAGTGCTTATCAAAGCCTAGATTACAACATAAATATGCCTCGGTCGTGTGAAGCCAATCACTCTCCTTCCCAGGGTTCCTTGAGGCAGGCCGAGTCACTCTCTGTCACATCGTCACATCTCACACAGTCCATACATTTGATTTTCATCAGTATCATTTTGGACTAGTCTACATATTTGAGGATTAGATGGGTAAGTGTGCATTTTTTTGTATAAGGTGCACTTACTTAATACCAAGATAAATTCACACTTTACATTGGAGTCATAGAGGAAAGACATTAATAAGTTTGCATAAAAGTGTAATTTATAATATTCAAGTTTTTATCCTCACATGGATTAAATATGGATCCATAAGTAAATGATACAAGAATTTCTGTAGGCTGAAGTGGGCTAATATAATCAATGTTTGGTAGGCATAATTACACAACCTGAATTGTGTGATAGGCATTACTAAGAGTGAGTGAGTGAGTTGGGTTTAAAGCCGCTTTTAACAGTATTCCAGATATATGACTGCGTGTCAGCTTGATATGGGAGGAAAGCCCAAAGTGATGCAGATCTCAGACGTTTACCACTTCGGTGAAACCCACGAGAATGGTAATGGTGAAAAACCTAGAAACATAATCTGGGTGAACCAGGATTCGAACCCACAATCATAGGGTTCTGGCCTGCCCAAGGGACGCAACTCTGCACAGCGAATTGGGCAACCCGTGCCCCCATTACTTAGAATTTGAGGGATGACGAAGTAGAGATAATTTATAGATGACAACTTCTTTTTTTACTGTAAAGCGTCGTTTCGGCAAGGCTTGACAACGGTATAAGGATCTATACCGAAATGTCGCCTTTACAGTAAATAAAGAAGTTGTTATCCATAAATTATCTCTACTTTGCAATAGGCAACCTGTCATAAATTTGGACAATTTTTTATTTCTTGATATGTAATACTGTATTTTTGAGAGTGACGTGACTGAAGCCCCGACCAACAGAAATCAAGGCAAAAACGTGAAACTGACTGTTACATAGACAGGTGTCTTAGTGCATGCATAGATAGATGAGTGCATGCATAGATGGATGAGTGCATGCATAGATGGATGAGTGCATGCATAGATGGATGAGTGCATGCATAGATGGATGAGTGCATGCATAGATGGATGAGTGCATGGGTGGGTGAATGGGCGACACTCATCAATATTTACCCACACAATCATGCTTAAATACATCACAAACTTTGGTAATGAAAAAATAATTTCACAGTTCGTCTGCAGCAGGTATGTGTTTACTGCAACACACCGCACTGATTCCTCCGGGGGAACTGATCAGGACGTTCTCCACGCTGGACCTGATTATTCAAACAGCTATCCGTCACCTCTCGGAAATGACTGAAACTGATCTGCTAACGGTTATCCGCGGACCTGTCAGGCCTCCAGGCAATGCCTACCATCAGTGAAATGGACGCGAAATGAGCGAGTTATGAAAAGCGAATCACTTTCATGACAAGGTCTAATCATGGGTCTCGGGGCATTATCAGCAGGAATTGATGAAGGGGCCTTATGAAACCGACACCCATGTTAATAGCATGTAAATGCTTTAATCTGCTAATTAATTGCTGCAGGTTACGAGGAAGTCATTTCCCCATCTTGAGTTTTATGTGCACAGAACAGGCTGTCGTTTTTACAATCAGATGAAGTTACGCGTCTGACGTCAACCCTGTATTTTTACTCTCATTCGTCTCAAGAGGTTCATCACCCAATTTGTCAAACAGATGATGAGGAAGGTTGTTGGTTTGCTTCAATCTGTGTTAGCTTTAGTTTTATAACGTGGAGTAGGCAGACTGAGCAAAGTATTGGACATTTAAGAACTGGCATTATTACTGATATTGAAAATGATCTGAATTCAGGATCATGGGCCCTGGGGATTCAAAGGCTATATTAGGTCATTTTGGACTGAATATGATGGGATGGTCAGACTCTGTGGCTTGGAAAGTGTGGGTCATTACACTATAGTCCTACCCTTTCTCAACAGTGTGGCAAAATGAAACTATTTCTTGAGTCTTTGTAAGGCATTTAGAAGTGATACACAGTGGTAGAAACTAACATCTTTAGTCCACTAATCCTCATAATGATAGCATTTAGCAAAACCCTTTAAAATGGCAAATTTCTACTGGTCCTTATGATACAATTTAAACGGTAAATCAACATGTCTGGTGATTTTTGATCTCAAATTTCCAATTTGTACTGACCAAGTTTCTAATCACCCGTTCGTTTGCCGGACTTCGCTAAAGGTGTAAAAAGATTTCTGCGCTTGGTATTCGAATTTCTTTTTCCCAAAATATTGAATCCGCTAGAGGGGGGGTGCGCATTATACATGGGTGCACACTATACTCAAGAAAATATGGTGCCTTAACTATTGGGCAGTTTAGCAAGGGCTTTAGGACTAGTGCCAATTTCTATAGCTGGATACACATAAGGAAGAGAATTTATGGATGTCAACTAGGGTTGGGATGAGTCCAAATTTACTACACCAGGTACCAACCCCCCTATTACCCGACCCTACCCGGGTACCCACCTACCTATTACCCGACCCTACCCGGATACCCACTGCCGGTCTCAAGAGTTTGGAAAAAATTGTCTGATTGGGATTTTTTTACCGCAGCTCTGGTTAAAACAATATAGACACATTTATCAAACGATCAGATCCCGATCACCTGAGCATGATCAAATCTTCGTGCTCAGGTCATCGTAACTCCTATACCTTAACATAGACTTACATCAGGCGTAACCCTAGGGTTGTTTTGTATAAGCCGCGAAATTTACAATCTTTCCACTGTTTTTTTCTTGCCCAAATTATATTCTAACAACAGCTCCCTATTTCTAATTCTGAGAGCGCCCTGGCCGCTTATTACGTCAAATATGGTAGTTGAGATGTCGCTGACTGCAGCTTTAAACAACAAATGTAACCTGCCAGGAGACATCAGGATCTTTATGGATGCTAGAGTATAATTATATAATGTATAACTGTGCTGTGACATCATATAGATGTTTGACGTCAACTGATTTCAGTGAAGATGTGTGATGTCATGTATCTCTGTAAAAAATATGAATTGGAGCTTGTGAACTGCATTTTTGTGTTCCAAAGATGCTGTAGTTTAAAAATATAATGAAAAGTCAAAATGTTATTTTCACCCATAAGGTCCCTTATCTCGTGGCTGGTCACAAACATAGAAAACAACCAAATGAGGAATATGAATTATTGCACAGTCTCAGTCTCAACTGAGAAGTAAATGTTTG